GAAAAGGGACTTAGCCAGGCCGCCACCATGGATGTAAGTGACGGTGTGAAGTGGGGCGTAGTAAAGACATCCCATACGCCTGATGACAACCTACAAGTGTGAAGTTCACATGCATAGCATAGTAACCAACTAGCTAAATTAACACTGCTAAACCTGCTAGTACTGTATCATGAACCTATGTAACCAGCGAGCCTACCTTGGCATGATCCAGATCCTGTGCAGACACCCCCCAGGCAGCCACCAGCTGCTCTGTAAGGCACTGCTGCAGGTACTTTGCACCCTCCATGCCCCAGGCTGCTTCATCTGTTTGCAAAAAAATGCAAGACATGCATATAGTGTGATGCCATTGGGTCAACATTTTGGGAAAATACAGGCTTGCATACACCGACCTTGCAGATTCTTAACCTTTTCCATGGCCTGTATCCAAGGAAGGCTGAGACCTGACCGGCCGATGGCATGTTTCTTGTCCCTGAGTACCTGTGCTTTCTGGTACACAGGTACGTTGATACGTGCAACGTGGGTTAGGCGTGTAGCGGCATATAAAATCGTAGATGGTTACAGCAACATCTGCAGCACATACATAGCTTCAAGCACACATACCAGGTGCTTATCAGTTGCCTCTGCTGCTGCACCCTCGTGTTCAGCAGCCATCCCCCCAGCAGTGATGGCACCCAGCTTATTCACAACCTGCCAGATTTGTATGATGAAGGCGGTGGCACACAGAATGCATGTCACTCACAAGTCATCTTAGGTGTTGCATATGGATGGCAAATACACCCCTGATATTGATTAGTTCACACTTGCCTGCTTATCTATGGTGTCAGGATGCTTGTTTGTAAATTCCCATGCTTTACGCACAGTCTTCACAAAGCTCTCCTTGGGGCCCGTCGTTGTCAAGTCAGTCATGCCCCATTGCCGGATGCACCACGTGTATTTTCGCATGTTAAAGAACTTGGGGATGCTTCCCCAGTTCTTGTATCGGCCAAACAGCCGTACCATATCTGTCTGCAGTCTGCAAGCAAACACAGCAGTATTATGAACACATGTTCATATCTGTAGTAGCCTTCACGAGTGACACATATATATGTCAACTCATAGGGGGTCTAACAGCGTCTAACTTCTTAGGCGGGGCTGTCAGCCGGGCTCATTATCAGCTGCTGATGATAGTTGTCAACGTGGCATAACAGCCAGTTAGACACTGGGTTAGAGGTTGTCTTGTCCTGTTTGGCCCTGTGACTGACATATACCTGGAGCCCACACTGTTAACAGTTGTCTGATTCTAGGGACTGTTAGCAGCTGTAAGGACCTGTAACAGAGCGCTTTCTGCCACAACAGGATATTGTTGACAGGATGTTACATTCTGGTTGGGTCACCCAGATGCTGAGAAAGAATTTTTGACGGCTGTTAGGGTTTTGGGAAGCTAATTGTTAGCAATTGTTCAATTCACTTAAGTTGTTAAGCGTTGCCAAGGGCTGTAGTTGCTGACAGGCCTTGAAAGCTGTTACGAGCAGGGACGTGCTAAAAGGAAGTTCCATCATGTTACTGGCTGTTGCCATTAGATAATTTGCTGAACTGCTGTTTAAGGATTTTAATTGCTGTTTTGAGGTTCAGACGCTGCAGCTGTTATGAATGTTATGAGCTTTTACATGATCCCTGTCCACTGTTAAATCACACATTCTCTTTTTTTTGGAAAGCTGTCTGACTTCAATATTCATGCCATCAGCATCTATTTGCCATCATTGGGGATAGAAGCTTGTACTGCATGGGTAGGCACAAAACCACATTCGTCAGGAATTATATACATATGTATGTATTACACACAACAGTCTGGGTCGCCCTGGTCACCTCACTTGCTCATCATGTGGAGTTGTGCAGTATAGTGCACAGCCAGCTGGCCTGTACAGGCATCTATTGTCTCTATTCTTTACAAGTCTGGAGGCTGCTACCAAAATCATAACAGCAACAGCAGTACCTTGTCTTGGCCTGCAATTATACACACATGTTCTTCATCAACCTTCACCTGTGACCTGTTCCGCACTACTACTGCACTGCTTCCTTTTTTTCTAGTGAACACCTACTACACACCACTGAACCACATAGCCGTAGACTGCAGCTGCCCACTTGCTCTGTATCCCTGCTCATCAAGGAACCTCTCTAAGCAACCAACGCCAGCTTGCCCTTGTACTGGACCATGGAGTCATTCCATAGAACATTTGTGCAGCCATGGGAGAAAGCCCACTCCTTGACCTGCTGCTTGTTGAATCTGCCAAGCGCTAAGTAGGCTCTGCACTGGAAGCTCTACAACCATGTGCTTCTTTAGCTCCTTGCCAACCTTAATGGTACCACTGGGCAATACCATGGAGGTCTTCTTGCTGTTGTTCACCCTGTGCAGAATGAAAACGGACACCTTTGTTTTCCTGCATGGTGAATATGGAGGGACCGACCAGTGCTTATTCAACATTGTCGACATGTATGAAAAGAAACATAATTATTATATTATTAGCAGTAGCATAAAATCTATAATCCAGCAGGCAAAGACATTAATTTCAAGCAG